ATCTGTGTAGCGTAGTGAATGATCTGTGGTAGTGTAGTGAATGATATGTGCTGGTGTAGTGAATGATCTGTGCTAGTGTAGTAAATTATCTGTGCTAGTATAGTGAATTATCTGTGCCACATAAAAATATGCAACCCTAAACTGTTTACTATAATGTCAAATCAGTACAGCTGTATGCAGTTGAAACATGGAGAGCAACTAAAACAGTTACTAATAAACTATACAAATTTCATAAACTGGTGCCTGCACAGAATCTAGGGAATTAGCCTGATGGAATCATTAATGTTTAGCTTTGGGAGAATTAAACAAATACTAGTGAATCGTGAGGTGAGGAAAAGGTTCTGGTGTTGGATAGGACACACCGAGGAAACCTGAAAAACAATATAAATAGAAAGGCTTTAAAACTGTAACCGACAAGGGCAAAGAAATAAAGGCAGGTTAAAATCTATGTAAGAGAGTTACATCAAAAAGATGGGAAAGATATGAGGGGAACTGCATGTAACATCAAAGGACAGGATGACTTGGCGTCAGTTGGCTGAGTGCCTATCCCTTACTGGGGAATAAAGGGAAGAAAGGAAAATATACTGAGGTTAAAAGTTTACGACAAGCAAGGAAGAGATGGATACAAGCGGGAGGATAACATTAAGACATGAACAAACAGTAGCCTCAGAGAGTGTATAACAAGGGTGGGAGGCAAAGAGCATTGGGAGATCCATTGCAGCAAAACACCAATGTGGAAATAGGACCTGGCCGATAGAGGGTAGTGTTGTATGCAGTGAAATCAGTCCATGAAAGGAGTGGAATCTATTCTGCCTAGCAAGAAAACCTCAATAATCTGTATCACTGATATTTCCCTCCTTCTGCTCCACTAACAAAATAAGATGTAAAATAACATACTGAGGGATCACATTGAGATGACATTGTTAAAAGTTAGAACAAACACTGATGTTTAGATAACAAATGTTATTTTTTTCTGGTTTCTTTACTAAGGAATTATTATGTCACTGTCTTAACCAAAATTATTATGTTTACAGTTTGGGGAAGGGGGGTGGGTAACAAAAGTGCAATTAAACCAACCTTTGGCTATCCTCCGAATAACGGTCCCAAATTATCGAGGCCGGAAATATGGTGGACCTCTTTCCGGCTATTACACCGCATACCGTGGAAAAGTTTCCGCCGAGTTAAAGTCACCGCTGAGAGTTTTCTAACTAGATGGGGGCTAAACTAGATGGCTGGGACTCACGAGCAGCAGCTACCACATCTCCTGCGGCTTCCTCCATTTTATTTGCTCGTGAGTCCAAGCCATCTAGTTTAGGCCCTCTCCGCGCTGCTACGCACTCTCGGCGGTGGCGGTATAGTTGCTGGAAAGAGGTCCATAATTAACATGTAACTGAGGCCCTGTTCGGGTATATTTCTGGCCTCGATAATCTGGGACCGTTTTTTGGAGGATAGCCCAACCTTTCTTTACTAGAATAACCTCCCTAAGTGTCTCTTGATAACATTAATTACTAATACTACACAGGTGGAAATCAAGTAAACATGAATGATACAACAGAAATACTATAATCAAATGACCACTGCTTTTACAGATCAAGAGAAAGTATTCAACACAGCAAACTGAGGTTTACCTAGCAAGTCCTTGAAAACTACAGATAAAAGTCTACCGATCTACACTGTATAAAAAAAACCTATAGAGAAAGTGAAAGCACCATAAGAACAAGAGCTGGCCTCACAGATTGGTTCCTGGTATGGAAATAAAAGGGTGAGAAAAAAGGTATGTTCTGTCAAGAACCCTCCCCCTCAGCATGGTCTCAAATTGAAAAGCCTGTTTTCTGCGTGTCTAAATATCAAAGATATGAAACCTGATGTCCCCCCCCCCCCTTCTCCCCCCACCCACCCCGACTCTGAGGAGTCGTCAAATTGGATCGTTATGAATAAACTCAACTGTGACGTTGTCCGTTGTCTGCTGTTTAGACCTGGGCGTTAGTCATCTTCAGCAAACTAAAGAAGAAAACAGAACTAAGTATCATTTCTACCTCTAATAACTGACTTTATATGTCACTATGATTATATATTATACTGTGAAGCATAAAACAAATTTAGTTTTAAAATTACCTTGCGAAGACCTTTATAAACATACACGTAAAGTTCCCTGCCAACATTGAAACAGATTCTGTCTGGAGACGTAGAGCCGTCGCAGACATCAACAAAAGACACTTTAACTGGAGTATTTGCTTGTCCATTAAAGGCAACACGACTAGGCTTGGAATATTCTGAATGTTGCATTAATTTATAGGAGCCTTCGCGGGTAACAAAGTGTGTTTTGATTTCATCTTTTCCCCCTCCCTCACTCAAAGACGCCATAATGAAAACCACAAACTTTTCACAACAACCCTCAGGTGCTAATCTATGTGCGCATGAACCTGTGGCACTTCCGGCTGCGACCCGAAAACATGGAGCAACGTCCCTTATTTACAAATTTCTTCTTTCTCTCTTTCTTCTCTTCTTCAGCTCACTTCATCGAAGTGCTAGAAAAAAAAAGTGGGAAAAGGGGGGGGGGGTGGGGGTGTTCCGTGTGCTTATTCTAAAGCCTTGTATGAGCCTGTTTTAATTACCCTAAGCTTGTTCTTGAAGTCATCGTTCAATTTGCTGGGTCTTCCCCTTGATCTGTGTCCATTGCATTACACAGCATAGCTGTCTGTGGCAGTTGGTAACAGAGCATTGTCGTCAGATGGCCAAAAACATCTAATTTATTTTTCTTTAATAAACTATATAACTGGTTTTAAGTTTAGTCTTCTAGCTTCCTAATATTTTTATTTTCATGTTACCCTAGAAGACAGCTCAGCTTCGTTTTAATGATTTTGCTCTCCTTAGTTTAAGTAAGGGTCCATGTGTGACATTGGTAGCATAAAGTTGACCAAAAAATAGTTCTTATTAAATGTGCCTTGCACATTTCTCACATTCTTTAAATACCGAGACATTATCGAGAACTCACCTATTCTTTAAATTACCCACCCACCCAGGTTGTTTCATGGGCGTTGAATGCCCTAATACAACTGTGTTACACGGTAAAACGACGTTTTCAGTATTCCTTTTCTTTTGATTATCATCCGAATGGGAACTCATTACGTCACTGGGTGTTAAATCTTTCAGAATGCAATGCTAGAGAGAGAGAGAGAGAGGGGGGGGGGGGATTCAAGAATCACCCATTACGGGTTTTTTTTTTTTTTTGAGGTTGAACGGGGTATCTTGAATCTGCGCCGTTGGTCTGCCATCTAGATTGAGATTTTGTTAATTTCAGGGTGGTTTAAAAAAAAAATCCAGGTAGCATATCCGGAGGGGACCATTACAGATCGGTTTATCGAAAAGAATCACCAAAGGGCGCTGAAAGTATAAATCACCAAACGGGCACTGAAATTAGAAATCACCAAAGGGGCATTGAAATTAGAAATCACAAAAGCGGCACTGAAATTAGAAATCACCAAAATGGGCACTGAAATTAGAAATCACCAAAGGGGCATTGAAATTAGAAATCATCAAAGGGGCATTGAAATTATAAATCACCAAAGGGGCACTGAAATTATAAATCACCAAAGGGGCACTGAAATTATAAAGCACCACAAAACGCAAAATAGAAGTCTGCGTACAATTCTGGGAGCCATAAAATCTACACCTATTGTAGAAATAGAAAAGGCAGCTAACATCATCCCCTTAGAAGAAAGAAGAAGGACAAAAGCAATTCTACATGCTGAAAAAATGAAGAGAATGCTAAACCACCCATTACATGAAAAATTGGCAGCCAGGACAAAAAAACCGAATAAAGCGGACAAGCCTAAACCATCTAACGAAGGAATTTGGAAAGTCATTCTCTTCACTACTTAACCAACAATGTACACCTGAAGAGCTATCTTTCGAACTTTGGGACTCCGAATTATTGACACTCAATGTGTCAACATCCATCCCGAACCTGGGAAACAAAGATGCTGAGCCCGCTTTAGTGAAGAAAGCACTCACAATGGAACACCTCAACAACATGTTTCCACAGGACTGCTGGACGAGAATCTACACGGATGGATCAGCAAAAGAGGCAACTACGAATGGTGGGGCAGGTGTTTACATAAAACACCCAGATGCCACTACTGTGTCCCTAGCAGCCCCAACCGGACGAACTTGCTCTAACTACAAGGCAGAACTCTCAGCCCTGTTGATGGCAGCACAGTATATGAACAATCTGCAAATCACCGCAGGCAGGATAGTTTTTCTTACCGACTCACTGTCAGCTATACAGGCCCTTGAGTCCAAACCTACCGACAGCACACTACAAGTCTAACACAGGAACTTGCTATGTTGTCAAATAAGGCAGAAATTCACTTGCAGTGGATTCCGTCTCACTGTGGCATCCAAGGCAATGAAAGCGCAGATGCTTTAGCCAAGGAAGGCAGTAACAAACCACAGATCTACCAGCCACTATCTTTTCCAGAAGTCAAAACTCTCATTAAGAGAAAATCAGAAACAGATTGGAAAACCAACACTGGTTATAACTACGGAAAAGATTTTCTGAAACACTTGAACAGAACAGACCAAGTCACAGTTTTTGGCTTACGCACTGGACACTGCAGACTCAATAAATACTCACATAAATTAGGTATGAGCCAAACAGCTCTCTGCCAGTGCCTTCGTGCTGAACAGACTCCAGAACATGTCCTGCAAGACTGTCCTCTCCTGGCGGAGCTGCGGAGCGACATATGGCAACACCCAGTAGAACTGACAACTAAGCTTTGAGGAAACCTAAGAGACCTTGAAAAGACATCCCAGTGTATGACCCACAGTGGATTATGCGCATGACCAGAGATCGCTGAAGAAGAAGATAAATCCCCAAAGGGGCATTGAAATTATAAATCACCAAAAGGGTACTGAAATTATAAATCCCAAAAGGGGCACAGAAATTAGAAACAAAAACGCTAAGAAACCGTTAAATGATGGTTTCGACCGTGGTACAGAGAGCCGACGTCCAGTAAGCAATGGCAAACTATTGGACGTAAATTTGCCTAAAGAAACCACACCAGCCAAGAGTGGAGTTGGTTCTGCAACGTCCTGTAAAGGTTACGCAACTAGATGATATATTTAAAAGGTTTATGATATTATCTGGCGTAATTTAAAACGGTAGGGACCTCAAGGCTTTATATCTTAGGACCTCAACAAGTCTAAATCCTACACTGATTATATGCATTTTACAAATAGTAACTATGCTTGAACATTATAAAGAGCTCACCTACGTAAAATTTACATACGGTAGATGAGATGCCCAAGGTGAGTCGCCTACTTGACCGTCTGTTAGACTAGTGACCGGCCACGTCAGGATTTGAACCCATGGCCTTCTGATCCACAGACGAGCGTCTGACTGCTGCACGACGGCGTCTGCCTTGAGTGTACGTGTACATGCATATCTATGTGTGTAAGTAAACACGTGCACATGGACTCCCGCTTGGGTGTGTGCGCATGTGTGTATATATCTATGTGTGTGTATGCAAACGCGTATGCGTGCATTCACACATGGTCCTGTATGTGTGTGTGTGTGTGTGTGTGTGTGTGTGTGTGTGTGTGTGTGTGTGTGTGTGGGTGTGTGCAGTTCTCTTTATGCCTAGTGGCACATGGGGCTTCAGAGAGGACTTTCCATGCTTTCTGTCTTGTGCAATCTTCAGTGCAGTTTTCCATGTCAAAGATGCCGCACTCAGGTCACTTTCCATCGTTCGTCTTCATGTTGTTTTCTTTCTCTTTCCCTCTGGTGTCCATGTGAAAGCTGTTTTGGCAGGTATATCAGGATACATTCTCACAACGTGGCCAAGTGTCACATATCACTCCTGTCACGTGCCTGATTTAAGGATTTCTCCTTAAGAACCAACAGCACTCAGAAATAATTATGTTGAGTCGTTTGGCTCGTATTGGTCTAAGGGATGCCCCGTGGCCAATATACGCTCCACTTATTTCTGGAGTAGGGCAACTCAAGTTTTGGCACTACAAAATATATCTGTATATGAATACAATATTCCTAAGCACACTTGGTTGAACACTCCCACTACTATAAAAAGAAAGCCCCCAGGTTATGATAGTTTACTATCAACTATCATAACCATGTTAACACATATAATACTTATTATACATACACACATCAAAGATAAACACTTAGTAAGGTGAAATAGAGACACCTAAGTCAGCCATAAAAATGAATGCATGTAATCAATTCAACTTCTTTACATCAATAAAAGAATAATGTTTAGAATGTTTGTAGGATCAGAACTCAGAGCAACGACTCAGATATTGAAACAGCCAGAAGGTCTCGAGCGGGGCGGGGGGGGGGGGGGGGAATACCAGGTCCCGACTCGACGATTATGTGTAGTGGCAGGTCATTCCTTGACAGCTACCCCCCACCCACCCCCACCCCAAGGAAGAGCGTACTACGCGAATGAACAATGATCAGCCATCTACACATCTATGGACTCACCACTCTCAGCCTGCTCACCACCTTCAGTCTGTGAATTATCAGACAAGGAGTGACAACTCAGAACATCTGTTCTGGATCAAAGGGTTTACCAAACCAACCTCTCAGAGACAGATGAACTATATACAATAATGACAATCCATGTGAAAATAGAGAAACCTATTACCACTATACACCACTAAATCAAAAAGGAGTCTATAAAGAATCAGTAGATGTCCCTGTGGACCTAAGACTCTGATGATTCCATCCATGTAACACTGATCCCTGCCAGGTACATGCAACGATGTAGGTCCAGGCCGAACCCCCTGATCGGGTTGGCTGAATAAACCCACACACCATCCTGGTACTCCTGTCATATTCAGGTAATATACCGGTGTGTCTCCTACATCAGTAGTCACATAGGAAGGTCGTCGAGGAATGTGGGATATAATCCCTCCCGTCTGATCCTTCGCGAGGTTCGGAAGGATTATCCTCCCCTCGTCACTATGTGCTCCAACAAACACAGGAAGGAACCCTTGTGTGAATTGAAAATTCTCCACCTTCTGGTCCTCCTGATGGTCTGGAGGTTTACTCCATCCTCTTTAAAAAGAGGGGCTTGCACAGGGCATTTACAGAAAGGCTCAACAGGAACCAATGTCGTATCATACTCCAGTAATGAAGTTTGCCCTGGCTTAACTCTCAGGACAGAGTTATACTCTGACAAGAGTTGCTCTATAGCTGGTTTCTGGGAGACAGAGAGAGTTGGGTTAACCTCTACATCTTTATAGGTCTCCCTGGGGTGAAGAGGATATTCCACAGCTGTGGCTTCTCCACCTTCTACCTTCATAGCTACAGAAAGTGTCAAGAGGGTCGGTGTGTCACTTAC